GGCGATTGAAGCTTCTTATTAGTAATTTTCTTTTTAATTGTAGTAATAATTTCTTCTTTAGGAACATGCAATTCCTTACATATTGTATCATCAATTTCGATGCTGCCATCGTCTTTTTGTTTGGATACAATTTCTTTATGCTTCTCAGGAGAAGCTGATTCTTGAACAACAGCAATTGCAGCTTTTTTCTTATGATCTTTTTCAACCTTTTTAGTAATGTTATCAACCAGATATTGATCTGCGCAATCTAACAATTCTTTTTCAGCATCAGCATCTCCGATTTGATCAGAAAGGTATTTACGAGCTTTATTATATTTATCTTCCAATTGATTTTTATGTTGTGGTGCGGCGACATTAAAGTAGCTAAGAGCAACTGCTGTCTTCCACCATGGTTCTGATTCTGGAGATCTAAGCTTCGGACTTTGCGCACATTTTTTCATTTCAGTTACTACATTGGTAACTGGAACGTCTATTTCTTCACAAATTGTCTCACTAACTTCAAAAGATCCATCATCTTTTTGATTAGACACTATGTCATCGCATTTTTCTGGTGTTACTGACTCTTGCGCCTCACGAACTGAATTTCTCCTTTTATTTTTAATCACCTTCTTAATGCAATTTTCGACTACATAATTATCCGCGCATTCTTCAAGTTCCTTCTCGGTATTTGCATCTCCTATTTGTTTTGAGAGATATTCCCGGGCTTTATTATATTTATCTTTCCATTCACCTTCAAGCTTAGGTGCAGTTTTCTTAAGGTACGAAAGGTTAACCGCAGTTGCAAGACTTGATAAGTATTCGGGTGATTGAAGCTTCTTATTCGTAATGTTCTTTTTAATTGTCTTAATAATTTCTTCTTTAGGAGCATCTAATTCATCACAGACTGTATCGCTTAATTCAATGCATCCATCATCTTTTTGATCTGCAACGATTTCATTGCATTTTTCAGGAGACGCTGAGTCCCGGACTATAGTAAGTGCTTCCGCTTTCTCATAATTTTTAAGTTTTTCTCTATCAAACCCAAGGGCTTTTTCAACATTTTCTCCAAGTTTAACAGCTCCATCATAAAGAGTACCGATAAAGCTTTTAGCTTTAGGTTTTTCTTCTTTATTAAGAGCAATCATATCCTTTTTATGTTCCTCAATCGCTTTATCCGCTACTTTATCAGCTACATACTTATCGGCACAATCCAATAATTCTTGTTCAGCATCAGCATCGCCAATTTTCTCAGAAAGATAATCACGAGCTTTATTATATTTATCGACCCAATCACCTTTATATTTATCCGCTGCATTTTTAAGATATGAGAGGTTAACAGCAGTTTCAAGACTTGATAAAAGCTCGGGTGATTGAAGTTTCTTATTAGTAAGATTCTTTTTGATTGTCTTAATAATATCTTCTTTAGGAGTATCTAACTCCTTACATACCGAGTCATCTAGTTTAATGCTACCATCGTCTTTTTGTTTAGATACAATTTCTTTATGTTTATCGGGAGAAGCTGATTCTTGAATA